TCACATAAAAAGTATTTCCAGTAGTGAAAATATATCTGGCACAGACAACGTCCTATTGTTTTGCTACTAGTGAGAAAGTGAATCTTTCCAACTTTGGTTCTTTTGTGAAAATGTCTCTGTCAGTCCATTCCCAGTGTCAAAGGGCCGGTGTTCTGTATCAGGGTGACAAATCCTCACCCTGTTTTCAGAAAACAAAAAGTCTTTGGACAAGAGAAAATATGTGAGACCACAGTGGCAGACTTCCCAACAGTTTACAAAAATATTCTAGTTCCAGTTACAATAGGGCTGGTAATTAATAGTCATTCAAGTTCAAGGAAGGTGAGGAGAGTAGTCACACCTTAAGAGTCCTTTACAAGTATAAATATCTGCTCTTCAAGTGTCAGTAATCTTGAAACTGCCTGGTTTGTACATATTGTCTTCTAACCATGTCTGAAGGCTAAAAAATTTTTTTTTTCTTAAGAGCCACAGAGGACTATGGAATGAAAAGCCTGCTGTCTAAGTTTCAGTATAGATAACAGATAATACCCCAAAAATGTCATTTTATGAAAAACTGAAGATTTGTCTGCCAATGACGAGAGTTGTTTTTTGTTGCTTTTTTCTTGCACGGTAATTTTACACTTCACTTCAGTAGCTGCTAACTTGTAATTGTTTCAGCATGTCCTATTGCAAAAGAGTTGAAATGCAGTTCATGTGAAAGGTCAATGACATCATCATTCAGACTTTAGGACAATAAGCCTTGTTCACTGTAGTGTAAGTCAAACGTTCCATCGATAGATCGATAGATCGATAGATGGGGTGGCTGTAGCTCAGGTGGCAGAGCGGATCAGCCACTAACCAGAAGGTCGGTGGTTCAATCCCAGGCTGCTCCAGTCTGCATGCCAAATATCCTTGGGCAAGATATTAACCCCATGTTGCTCTCCGATGCATCCATCAGAGTATGAATGTGTATGAATGTTAAATACTTAGCACTTGAGCTTAGAAGTGCTTGTGTGAATGGGTGTGATTGGGTGAATGAATTAGCTGTATAAAGCGCTTTGAGTGCTCGGACAGAGTAGAAAAGCGCTATATAAGAACCAGTCCATTTACCATAGATAGATAGACCTATCTCGTGCCACCACTCCCACTTGTAGGTTATAGGTAAACTGGAATAAAGGGCAGACTCTCATTATGCAGATAGTTTTTTGTTATCTAAAGAGCATAAAGCACACACAAAGCAAATAAGGACCTTTGCTCTTATTGATCATCAGTATATGCTTTGCCACCATGACTTGCAACTCCTACTGACTGCTAGAGTTTGACATTTAACCCATTAATGTTCAACAGTGGAATTTCATGGATCAATTTAAAGTGACTAAAACGCTTGCTCAGCTGAACAAATATGTAGAGGCTAGACTAAAGTAGTTGTTTTTACAACATCCTTTTTGTTACTTATCATTCAAACAAACACACGTGCAAACAGACAC